ACTCGTGAATTCAGAAATATCTCATAAGGGTGAAATACACTGAGAATGGGGGAGACGAAATGAAAGTGAAAAAAAAAGTGAAATTCCAATCGATTTGTCATGGTCCTCGTGGGTCTGTCAAATCGTTGCGCACTGTGCACTCGATTATAACGAAATCGAAAACAAGATCAAAGGCACTTGAACGACCCCTTCTCCCACCCCTCTCTGTAACCTTCACGGCTTTTTATCTCACCACAGAGCGGATATTCCGATGCAAATAATGATGAAAGTATCGATGAAGGGACCATGCAAACGACAAAAATCTGTTTTATTTTCCCTCAATTTCTCATTCTCCGTTGCTTTCTCTCCGAAAAATTCCAATAATTGAGGAGAAATTGAAAGACCGAAGGAAATGAAAAATAATCGCGAGGAAGATGACAATAAATGGTGGAGAATTTTTAAGTGGAGTGAAGATAATTGAAATCCAACACTCGTTTGGAGATTAACTCCAATTGGATGAGAAAATGTCTCGTCTTTGCGGGGGGTTCAGAGACAGAGAGAGTACCAATACGTCTGGTACATGAGAGGATCCTTTATAACAAGTACCATTGTAAAATTTGCCGCTTTGCCGAGCACAACTGTAGGGCAATCCCACCCGAGGATTTCTCGGATACGGAGGGTGGGTGGAAAGTAAAGCAGGGGCTGGATTCCTGTATTCGCCCTTTGGTTATCATGCCTGGCAGAGACCTCAAAAGAGCTAATATATTCGAGTTTGAGACAATTCCGAGTGGAAGGATGAGATAAGTTGGGAAATTCGTGAATTTCACTTGTTCTAGTCTGGCCGATTGTTTTATCTTTAACATCTGCAGGGAGTTTTTGCGATAGGAATTTGGCATTGTGAAAAAACAAATATTGTCGTGTGGTCTCTGACGGGTTCTTTTGACCGTTTAAATACAATCCGAATGCAGTATTTGGCATCACGTGATGAGGCAGAAAACGTTTTATATTGATATATTCGATATATTCTAGATAGGTCATACGGCGATAAAAGTATTATCTGGCGAATGTGGCTTTATAATCCGAGCCGAAGGCGATCGCCTGATGACATAATCTACTATTTTTCCAAATATCCATTTACTCGAGAGAAGTATTTATTTTTCCAATACACGGAGAGAAATTTTTTAGAAAAATTCTAGTGCTAGCACGGGAAATTTTATTGGGGAAACCGTGAATTTTTTCCCGTATTTCTGTAAAAATTTTACAGAAATTCCTAGAAATTTGACCAAAAATACCAAGAAATTTTACTTCAACAGCACTAGAATTTTTCACAGCCGGTGGATGGTTATTTTTTTCCAGTACTCGTACTAGAATTTTTATAGAAAATTTCTCCCCGTGTACTGTATTTCTCCAGTCGAGTCATTACCAGGCAATTCTCATTAGGTTTCAATCATAAAAATTATATTGCTCTAGAAGATGATCATGTTAGGTACGACTTTGAGTGAATGCCGTCAATAATTATCAGCATTAAAAATTAATGGAAATTCATCCCTCTAGAAAATGAGAAATTTTGGACGAATGGATAATTATTGGAGGAGTTTATCCAAGGTCATAAGCAACATAGTCATCCTTTAGAGCAATGTGATTGTCATAATTGAAAACTAATCAGGCTCGTCTAGGAATGACTCGATTGGAGAAATACGATTTAAAAAAAATAAAGGCTCCTCTCAAGTAAATGAATATTTGGCAACATTTTTTTTTCTCAGTGTAATACGTAATAGATGTTTTGATAGATAGCCAGCAAATAATGAGAGATAAAAAACGAGAAATATCAGTGATCAACAGTCAGTGCCTAAAAAAAAACAATAAAAGTTTATTGAAAAGTGTATGTGGAAATCCTGGTAAATATGTGAAATATAGAAAGATACTTTCAAATTGGGAAATTAATCCAGATGATTTTTCGGCACAGAAAAAATAAATTATGGAAAAATAAAAAGAAAATGGTCTTCAAATATTGAGAATTAACAAGTAAAACCATTTGTTGAAAATCGATATCCTGTTCATGATTTGGAGATTGACAACAATAAAAAATTTTATTTCAAAATGCTTCTTTTCTTCCTTAAATTTGGTTCAACCTATCTACTAATAAATACCTTTTAAAAAATTTTAGATTTTGGACTCATGTCTTCGAATGTGCGCTCGATGCTCATCCCCTTTCACGTCAAACGGCCCACCCCCATAGCTAGTGGGTATAAGATATCGAGTCAGAGGGTTAATGTCATAATTTGAAACATGAATTTTTCAATTTTGGAACACAAACTAACTGTTTGTTTCCCTTTTTTTTTAACTAAAAAAAAGGAAAAATAGCGTTTTTATTTCCAACACTAGTTTTCCAAGTGATGTAAATGAACAAGTTTCTTGACGCAGATGACTTAACAAAAGTATTTTTTCTCTCAGTGGATTTAGTACATTTTATCACCTCGCACCAAATTTTCTTCTGAATCATTTGTTTTCTTCCGCGTTCCTCCTTAAAAGTGACGCATTCTCACCTTTATATATTACAAAATCCACGAACAGGCAATGGCAGTGTAATAAAATGTCGGGAGCGGTGCCAAGCGACCGACAGATCACCCTGGCTTATTGAAAGGATATTTCATCCGGGAGAAAGGAGGGAAAGGAGGAGGAGAAGTGGAGGTAGAAATCTACCCTTACGTATGGGTCTAACGTATCCCGCTTATCCTTACGAATTTTTCCAATGCCGGTGGCTCTGAAAAATCTAGCCCTCGCATCTCTCGTTCGTTCGGCTTCAGTTCTTCTTTTTCTCTTCCAAAGAACGAAACCACCCTGTTACGCTCATCCCCTGTCTATGTGAGCCATACGTTTTTTCCATATCTTTTTTTTTCGTGGATCCACACCCCGGATTCGCGCCTCTTTTGTTGGCAATTGATTTTTCACACACTCGCACGCACTATTCAGATCGTAGGCCTCCTATTTTTCGTTAGACAGACGTTGAGCTTTGGCTCAAATTGATGGCTTTTTTTATTGATACAAATGGAAAAAAATGCAACGGACTGTGGAGAAAAAGAGTAGGGGAGTGAAGGTTAAATTGGATATTTCAAATTTATGAAAAACTATTCATATGGCAAAAAATGAAATTATCAGAAGTCCGCCTGACAGACTTATCTCGAAAACGAAGCATTTTTTTGAATTCATATTTTTTTCCTTCTACCATTACGGTTTTATAGGCTCCCCATTCGTCTGCCTTGCCTCTCCCACTTCTCTCTCCTGATTTTTTCTGCGCTACCATGGGCCGTCTTACTCTTAACTGTACCCCATTCGGGCTGGGACTGCACGGGAAACCATGGAAAACCCCAGTGGTACAGCCGGCCGATTGTGCAGAGCCCTAATGTGCCCTTCTGTCACACTGACTAGAGGGACACGTTAGGCCACTACACCGTGCCTACCTTCCGAAATTTTTGTGCGAAGGTGTTCCTAAGCGGTCACCCATCCAAGTACTAACTGCGCTAAACGCAGCTGCACTCGGATGTCCGCCGGAGCAACACCTAACTTCTTTTCTTCCTTAAATTTGGTTCAACCTATCAATAAAAGCTCCCTGACTGTTTTCTATTACATGATAAATTACACTCAATAGTTGAAAATTAGTAAACATTGTTAGCCAGCATATCATCCTATTAATTTCATTTTAACCTCTCCTCCAATCCTTTCTCCCACATTGAAAGCGGAATGCGCTGCAAACGTATGCACTTATTTTATTTCTTAACCATTTCATCACAACACTAATTAATATTTCACTGAGTTGACATTATGAAAAAAATTAACCTGGGGTTTCAGTAAGGAGATATGTAAGAGAGGAGGCTAGAGGAGGCGACGAAATAAATCATCTGGTCACGTTGAGTTGATTTTCGCGGTTGTGGAGGGGGGACGAAGAGTGTCGAAATCTTACGAATGTGCGATCGGGTCCTAGGATTCTGGTAGAGCACCGGAAAAATTTGCTAGCCAGTGTCATAATTTTTCCCGTAGAAATTCACTGTCGCTTCGATTTTACCGTGCCCCACAAGAATTTTTCCCCGCATTTATCCGAAAAATGACTCATGCAACAGTACTTTTTCCTACCCTTTGCGGTACATTTCGCCTGGAAAGACCATCTGAACCCACTTTACTGTGCGAGCAAGGTAATTTTTCTCATACATTTCTCTCCGTGCATTCGAGGATATTTTTTTCCATGCGGATGATGCAGTTAATTTCATGATCGAATTCGTTCAAGATGGCATTGGGAAAAATATGTTAAATCACAGGCACACAGACACAGACACACACACAGATACAGACATGCACAATGTTAGAAATTTTTTGAAATTTCATGGAAGATATTATAGTAAATCTCATGAGTGTGAAAGCGAAGGGAAAAAATAGGGAATCGAATCAAATTTAGGGAAAAAATGGTTCTGAAATTTCAAGTTTCACGTAGAATTCACGCAAATTCATGAGTTTTCAGTGTGAGTCAGATGGAAATTTTACAACTTGATAGAATTTTCAGTGGAACATGGATATTCATAAACAAAAAATGACATAAATTTTCAATTTTTGCCTAAATTTTCACAGAATAATTCAACTGAAAAATCAAGTATTTGATTTATTTCCAGATCATTTGAACAGAAAATCAATGGAATATTTGATTCTTCAATGACAAGATTTCCTGAAATTTCGGTGGAACTTGAACACGATAAAAATTTCCTGAATTTGGCACGGAAAATTCAGACGGAAATTTTTAAAGGGCATACGCGCATACAGTCGAACACTAAAGTTCGTGAACAGACAACATAGGATGCAAGTTCAGGTTGTTCACGAACTTTAGTGCTCGACTGTACATCCAGCCATGGTCTGAAAATGGCATATTCGGATTTTGTGGATCATAATAAGTTGATATAACACAAAAAATCAGAAACTTAAATTAGAACGATTCCAACCCTTCCATTCAAAAGCGATAAATAAAAAATACTTACTGCGATTCCTGCACCCGTGCTTTACTATTCTTTATATACAAAGCGCTCACAACACTCCCAACAACCAGGATGAGTGCAAACGCACAGGTGGCAGCGACATAAAGTGCCCCAGTGCCATTGATGAATGGTCCAGCCTCGAGTCTCACCGAGTCATTGCTCGGCGGTGCCACAATACCTGGAATAAAAAAGCCGTCTTCAACCACGAGAACAATGTCTTCTGACAAAAAAATGAATGAAATCCCCTTATCCGCCTGAAAATAAAAGTGCATTAAAAAAATACTGAAATATTGTGATTGCGTCATTAGTTCCGCTTGATGTTTTTCAATCCACTAATCAGAGGGCTCGCAAATCTCCCTATCTCCTCCCGTCTACTCCACATGACCTCATCCCTCCCGCAACAACTAAATCCCCCAGAGTCGGCGAAATTCGTTTTTCCAACGTGGAAATGCGAGAGAGGGAAATACAAAGTTAGATAGAGGCAGGAAACTGGCTCGTACAATTTCTAGAGTTCGATTACTCGATGAGAGTCGGCCAGACAGTAGATGAGTGGAAAACCACGATGGACACCTCGATGCTTTGATCGACCTCCACGATGTGGAACGCTGAAATTTCAACCCCTCCCCTACCTCTCGTCACACAAACAACGACCTTTTCCACTGGGAAATTCAAGCATTCCCATCGTCTATTACTTTCCCCATTCTCTTTGCTTTCGTTGTGCTGCTCTCGTTATAACGAAGCTACAGTTTTGTACTTTCTACCCGTCTCTTTATCTGTTTCTTCTTCATTTTCATGTTTTTTTTTGTATGAAGCGGGGCGGGGGATAGTTTTACTGGTTCTTCTCTTTCTATTATCACTTTGTTGGTTACAGTGTTGCTAGAAGGACAAGGATGTACTTTGAAGAGCAGTGTCTAGGTTTCCTTTGTGTTTTGAATCCTTGTTTACGGAACGAGAAGGGTGCTTCCGAGCGGTGGTACCATAGCGAGGATCCTCTTAGATTTTTCTATAAATTGACAGTCCATTCCGATTCAATGTTCATTAAATTTACTTTTGAAGAGATGCGGTTCGATTTTACTGATTTTTTAGTGAAACCTGACATTTCATCATTTTTCCCCTAAATCGCATTCAGTGTTACTATCCTGAAAATTAGTAGTCAACTGTTTTTGAAATTTCATTTTTTTTCTACCAGTGTAAATAAAAACATCAATGAATAATTCCATCTGAAATTCAATGACAACCTATGAAGATGAAAATTAGCATGTCCCTGTCAACTGAACATCGAAATGTCTCACCAGTTCCTCTTACACGCCGTAAAAATAAATCACCAGAGAATCCGCCATTTTTCCTTAAATTAAAACTTGAAAAAAATGGAGACATCCCACAAAAAAAAATCGGATCAACACTCGCCAGTCCTCGAAGACCAAGAAAAATACGTAAAAACAAACAGGTATCTCCACCACTCCTCCCGCTTCTCGACTAGCAATAAGAAACACTGACTATGAAAAAGCACGAACAAAGACTTAGAAAACAGAGAGACAAGATACGACAGGACGTCCTGGAGTTTTCTCTAAGTGTGATGAGGCGTGTGAAGGTAAGCAGATGAGAGAACCACCGAACAGACGGAGATGGAAAGAACCTTAAATAAATCGTCGTATCTCTTCACCCATTGCATGAAGGCTTCTTGAGGCAGTGTAAGCCGGCCTCCCGCCCTCCTCTCCCACCCAGGGGAATGTTATTTTGTTTATTTACGCCGACTTTCCATCCTCGAATACCCGGATGCCCGTCGAGTGCACTCGCTTGCCGGAAGGCTTCCTACAACACCCTCCCCATAGGTTTTCTCACTCTTCCACTTTTTCTTCAGGAATATCCGTTTCGAGAAGGTGCTCTCACCTTGCATTAAACTCGAGAGTGAGAATATTCCGTGAAGAACTGCACAGAAGAGTTTTCTTATTCCTCGTGTTTTCCGCTTTCTCGTCTTCTCCAACATTTCAAAGTCTCGCTCACTCGAAAATTCCACCCTCACCCCCTGAGGGCAAACATATATTAGACGAGCGTGGAAGCACAGTAACCGTTGCCGTGGTTCGAGTTAGTCTAGAAATGGGGTTTCAGGAAGGAAGTTTATTCGAAACTGTGCCAGCCATTGCTCGGGGTTCAGGGTGAGATATGCTTGAGGATATTTCAATATTCGATATTGCTCGGTAATATGCCCAACGGGTTTTATGAAATCGCTGGGATGCTTTAGGCGTGACTGTCTTTGAATTGTTTAGTGATGGAACAAGTTTATGGGAACTCATCATTGTAAAGACTTGTGCTTGAAAGACGTCTCGATTTGAAGCGTCTGATACAATAATGTGTCTTATCGGCTAGTATCGTGATAACTGAAACTTCGAATGTCTTGAAATGAGATGTTTTTGCTTCCAGACGGAAGCTTTGTAATCGTGATTTCTTTTTATTTCTTAATTTTGGGTGGAAATGCCTAGAAAAGTCATGAAACGTGAAGAAATGATGTTCAAAAATGTCTGTATGTAAGTAGGTATGTGCGGGAGGCTATTCATAGGTGTAATCGTCGTGCTACTCGCTGATGTAATCATCTGTAAACCCAGTGAAATCAATGTTATCATTGTAATTACATGATTACCATATTTGTAATCAAGTTTTAGTAATCAAGTGGTAATCATTTGTAATCACTGTAATCATTTGTAATCAGTGTAATCTTTCGTAGTTGCTCCTAGTGAGACCGTGAATTTTGTTTTTGAATTTTCGAGCGCGTCATTTCTACCAATGGTAAGTCTCAGAGATCCCTGGATCAATTTTTCTTGGAATCCCAGATGTTTATGGTTCAGAACCTTGCATAGCTAATGCGTTTTGCGCGAGGCATTTGTCCGTAGAAAATTGATTCAACAGATTTAAAAGTTCTTCTTATTCTGGAGAACCAACGACTGAATTATCTCTGAATTATCTACTGGTAATTTTCATTCTCCATCAATGGTAGATATTCAGTAAATTTATTTTGCTGATAGCACTTATAAATGCCCAAATTTTTAGATGGAGTGATGGAAACTGCATTCCTCTGTTCTAATCCCCGCCCCTCCTTCCTCATTTCTTCGCAGGTTCTCATAATTAATTATTTCATCAATTCATATCTAATAAGAGGCCATTTTTGTGTTTTCAATGATTATAGACGTTTGGTAGTCATAGAATGTAATCGACGGAATCATTTGTAATCATGTAATCACATTCTGTGCTCTTGGTAATCACGGTTATCACACAGGCAATGGTAATCAGTGTAATCAGTCCCGTGATCCTGGGTAATCGGTTACATTTTGTAATCGCGGTGTTACCCAATTCGCCTGTGAATAGGTCCTCGGGTATGCGTGTGCGCATGTGTGTTCATATGTTCAGAACTGTCCCTATAACTCGATAATTATTGAGGCAAAGATGCTGAAATTCTGACTGCTAATTGGTACTACTGAAACTCAAATTTGTGCTAAATTTCAGCTCGATCGGTTGAGCGGTTCCTGAGATATAGCGAGTATTCGAAAATCTTTTTTTGCCGATATCTCCTGAACCACTCGACCGATTCGATTTTTTTTCAAAATACTCGCCATGATGATACCTCTTTATTTCGATTGAAAAAAGACCATTACACCCTGAACAATGTAGTTTTATTCTCGTTTTTACATTTTTTCGCTGAAATTGCTTGTTTGCACGATAACTTAAAAAATAATCGAAATAGAAACTTAGAACTTGGTACGAGTTTAGGCCTTATGGTAAACAAATATGGCAAACAAAGCTTGGGGTTCTGGATGAGTGAAATCGGACAAGTAGTTTCGGAGATATTCAACTTTGTATATGAAACTCTTTTGCTCAATATCGCAAAAATTATTGGTCCGATTTCAAGTTTTTTTTAAATATGCGTTTTGATGTCATCTATCTAGATTCACCAAAATATGGGTATCATCGCATTGAAATTTTTCGAGATATTGTAGTTTTTGAATTTTTTTCGTTGGAATTCAGTAGCGACGCGATAAACCGGGTCAAGTCGATTTTGACTTTTGACCAGTTTGTGATGAATATCTCAAAATCTAAGAGAGATAGCAAAATTTTCCTGAAGACCTTTTTTGTAACCCTCAATTCCTGTATAAAAAAGGTTGTAACAAAATTTTTTTCATCTGTTTTAGATTCCGAGATATTCGTCAAATACTGGCCAATAGTCAAAATCGACTCAACCCGGTTTACCGCTTCACTACTGAATTCACTTTTGCGAACTATGACGGGGGTAAAAGTCAGAGAAAGCTTTTGAAACTTTGGCTACTAGTCAGGATTGTCAAGAATCATTCCTAGACGAAATGTTAGGTCGATGTATGTGATAATTCTTGAGATGGAACAATTCACCCAAAATTCTTGAGCAAAAAAAATTCATTTTTTGTCATAAAGTGTGAGTGAGATTAATCTAAAGTTTTAACTAGTTGTTGAAATTCACCAAATAATCTTCTCCGTGTTATTTTGTTCTCAGCGCAGATACGACAAAGTTTGCTTGAGTTTGATGACCGAATGATCTCCGCTCATCCATTCCCCTTATCTCTGACCTCTTCTCCGTAGAACCCATAATTGTATATGAGAAAGGAAAAAATAACGCACAGAAAATTTTTGCATAGAAATTGCTAAAGGCATTCTCACGCGGTTGGTACCACAGTGTAGTGTTGTTTTTCATGATTGTCGTACGCGACCAGACTCTCGTTTACCCGCGACAAAAAACTTTATACCCATCCACTCTTGTCGTGAAAAGAGAATCGTGGCCAATCTCATATACCTGGACTCGTCTTTCCTCCCCCAATTCCCCTGCTTCCACCGCTTTTATATCCTACATGGTTATACTCCTTGTTTTCTTTGCGTTTTTTGTGTCTTTTCAACACATTTCCCAGCGTTCTCCATCTACCATGACCGGACATTTTTACTCCTAGTGCTGGTGTTGCCGATGAGGAGAATGAGGAAAGACTATTCGATCTTCGGACAGGATAAATTGGAAAGAAATTTCGTAAGGAGTGTGCGCTGGTACATCTAGTGTACGTGACTCCACTTAACTTTGAAACGAGTACTCTCTGAAAATTGGGAAAGGGGCAGGGGGTGAGTTTCGCCCGGATGGGAGATGAGGGGACGTAACACGTCACTGGAAAC